ATATACATTGGGTAGAAGAGGGTACGGTGTCAGACCCTGCACTGGAGATGGCTGGTAAATCAGAGATGGGCCTGCCGGCGATCAACTTGTCTACGCCTTGACAGATACTAACGGGTCCAACGAATGAAAGGGTTGCGGTCACTGTAGCAGGTGCAAGGGTAACATCCCGCGAGGAGAGTGGGGCAGCCGCAAGAACAAAGGTGGGCTTGTTCAGGGCCGTGGTTGAGGAATCACACGCCGGATTAAATTTCGATGCATTAATGGGTGAGAACGTTTGCGAGTTGGGATTCAACAACAGGGCGATGTGTTGTTGCACAGGAGCTCCCGGTGACTGGCCAGACGCTAGCACTGGATGAGCCTGGACTAGCGGAGCACCTGAAGGAACGGCGGCAGTATTAGCGGTGACAACTGATACGGCCTGACCCACAGGAGTAAGGAACTGCAACGACTTAGGCGTCAGGGATTCTGAATTAGCTGGCAACGCCTGATCTCGTTTAGGCGGGAAGATGCTCTCTGATAAGAGAGATTGAGTGGCAGCATTAGAAAGGATGTCAAGGCCAGAAACCTCCTCGCTAGGGTCAACGCCGGCTTCGTTAGCAGAGAACAGTGCGGGCGGTTCTTCCGGAGGCGAGTTTGCGTCAGAAATCTCAGTATTAGATGCACTCAGGTGGTTAGCAGTAGGTAGTGAAGAATCAACTTGGTCATGCACACCGACTGAATGAGCGTTGGGAGAGTCGACCACACTTTCTAAAACCACATGGGTCGTATCCGAGCAGCGTTCAGGAGATGGGTGGCTGGGAAGGACCTGTTTAGCGATGCGATCTAATAAGGGCTCCGTCGAGACTGGGTCTGCAGTCAACTCTGAATTCTGGCAGTGGTCAATATCCTCGGGCGGAAGCGTTGACCCGCAAACAGGCTCCAAGTCGTCCTCGACCTGTTTTTCTAACTGCGGAATTTCGTCGTTGGCATCTAGAATTGGCACATGAGATTCCTCGTCAGGCACGTGTTTAGTAGAAAATAATTCTGGCGTACGATTACTGTCTGGTGGTTGTTCGTCAAGCTCCTTACTAGCTGGTGGTGTTTCACGTCTCTTGGAAGATAAATTTCCGCCCGGGGAGGAGGGTGTTAAAGTTATCTCGTTCGGGCTGCTAGAACGACTGATACGTGGAGAGGACGAGGGAGTCGTGGAAAAACTGAAGTTCTTCGTGTGCGCGCGTTTGAAACTGCCGCTCGGTTTAGAGTGCGAACTAGATGAGTCAGAATCTGAAGAGGTTAACACTTGACGCACATGACGTTTCACTGAGGACGCATTCCTGGTCTTTTTGCTACTAGATATACCGGCCGACTTTCGATCACGTGTCGGTGGGGCTTTCTTCAAAATGAGTTCCGAGACCCGAGAGTCTTTGGTGGTTTTTTGTGAATTCGTAGAGCGTCGGAGTTTTCCCACTTTGTGCCCGGGTTTAGGCGTCTCCGTAGAAGCTTCCATTTCAGGCGGCTGCTTAGAGGAGTCGGCTTCGGGTGACAAAGGGCGCTTCAGTCTAGATTTCTTGCTCGAAACCTTTGT